CCGCCCTCCCTTTCCTCCCTACCGCCCACCCACCTCCCCCCCAACTTCCCCACCATTTTTTTTTTCCACCCAGCAAAAACACTGTACTCACACACCAACAAGTGGTCCTTCTACTTCACTTCCTAATCATTGTAATTGACTTGTTTAAAGTACCGCTGTATTACCCCGTGATAAATAAACACTCCGCTCCGGAGTTGTTAACTTTCATTCTGGCCTCCTACTAATTGAGCGACACATTGGCATTCTCAGTCATTTTATATTGTTAATGAATAATTGAATATATCCAACACTAATCATTAATCATTAATCATTCACTTAAATCATGCACTGGCATTCCTGACCATGTCCGATTTTGTCCGGTAAAAATCACTTCATGTCTCATTGATTTTTCATTGCTAAGTGAAATTGGAAAATGACGTAAAGAGAGAGGTAATGAGAAAATTGTGGATTGGAGAGGAATTTCGAGTTTTTCCTGATGAAATTTTCCACTGATATTTTGCCAATGAAAATTGACGGCCCAGATGAAAATGAAGAGACATTAGACAGTGCAAAATATTCTAAAACAGTTTTCGATTGAAATGTCAGATTAAATAGACGTCGCAAGAAGAGTGGTATTCATAGACATCCCCCAATAATCGATTACCTAAAAGACCCCTCTTTATATAATGCTTGCGAGTTCTCAAAGTTACATAGTCCTTATTTTATACCCCTTGGATTTATATCCAGACCTACTATTTCCGTTTTTAAAGCCATTCGCGTCATTAATACTTAATCCCTCCCACAGCCCTCGTCATTTTACCAATCGCTATTTACCCCAAATACCTCAGCTTGAATGTCACGGCCGATTTCATTGATGATTGCACATTAATCAGAAAATCGCAACAAACACGAGACATAAAAAAAAAATATAAAAATCCGACATAAAACTAATCTCTTCCGGACTCACCATAATATCGCATGAAACATGTCTTCAATTCCTCCGTAACATTTCGCAAACGAGAAGTAATCTCCCCCATTCTGGCACCCCTCGGGGTTCTATTAAAATTGATCGACCCCACCTTCAATTTTTTTCAAATTCCCGGTCGCGGAATGGCTAGGAGGCGGGGAGGTGAAAGAAGAAAAAAAAAAAAACGGGCGGACGAAAAATTTAATTAAAAAAGAAGAAAAAAAAAATCGTCGGCCCCCTGACGATCTTCAGCTACACCCCTGAGTGTCTCGGCGGGAAAAAAAAAAATGGTGGTGGGGGTTACCGAGTAAAAAGAGAAGAGGGATAGAAAGTGGGAAAGCAAGACGATACAGTAATTGTGTGGGCAAGAGAAGAAGAGAAGTTAAAGTGAGATACAAGCTCTGTCGCTTCTGAAAGAGAGAGGGGGGGCTGGAGGGGAGGGCAAGTGCGATAGTGGGGGCGTACATTGGCCTAAGATGTAGGGAGCCAGACGATTGGTGGGGCTGGAGGGGAGGGTGGAGAGGAAAATAATAATAAAAAAAATTGAAAAAAAAAGAAAGAAAACACAGCGTCGTTGTCTGCGCGGGATAAAAAGAGGGTATGAGGCAAAAGCCAACAGAAGAGGAGGCCAGGGAGACTCGGCTGGACGATGGGCTCACTCTTTTTTTTTTCTCTCTCTCTCCCCTCCTCTCTCTCTCTCTCTCTCTCTCTCTCTCTCTCACTCTCTCATTTTTGCAACGTACATGTGAATGTGCGAACGGTGGAGGCGGAATAGAGCGAGACAAAAGATAAAGGAAAAGAAGGAAATAAAATGAGGGGAGGGTGAAAAGGCAGTTCCGAAGCATTTTGTAGCATTGTAGGTCGTTGCGTTTTATAACGTAACTTTTTAATTTTCACTCGGTTGAGGAATTGGTGAGAGGATTTTTCTGATGAATTTTGTCGGGCTATTTTCATTATCGGTATTGTCGTGATTATAGTGATGGAAGGTGACTCCGGGGCTTCGAGGATCATCCAATATTATCGTGTATTGTGTGTTGATTATTGAAGCGGGAGGATGACGCTCTCGGTACTCTAGGTACACCTGTGATAGAAATTGTAAATACTTTAATTGGAGGTAGCGCTGGGCATTTGGGGCGTTTGTTTGGCTGTCGTATGTTTACGTTGGGATTTTTTTTTTTTCTTTTTTATTATTCATGTGCGGGTAAACCATGTGCGTGCGGTTGATTTTGAGCACTGGTTACAGTGAATCGGAGAGAGGACGAGAGACTGATGAGAGAGAGGGATGCGCCCGGTTGGGTTTGTGAATGGACGAGAGCTTCACGTTTCGACGTGAAAGATAACGCCTCGTGTTTATCGGTTGTGGAGTGAGTACAGGACAATCTGCTCCGGAGTATGTCATTTGTTTAAAAATTTCATCTTTTTTTTTATTCATTCGCACCTCTCAATCCTCCGCTCTAATTAATTCTTCAATTTTTCTGGGTTTTGGTTTTTTTATCGACTCTTGTAGCTACTGCATAAGGTATGCAAACAGTGAGGGGAGCTAATGTTAGGGATATGATGAAAAGTTTTTTAATTTCCGATAAATCGCATTTTACACGGGATTTTTCCTTTTGGATATTTTTAATTAATCAGAGTACACGAATCCCATGTTTATCCAGGCGGCGGGTGAGAATGGGATTTTCATCATTTCATTTCACGTTTTTGATTTTTTTCCTTTCTTCTACATATTTCACTGCATAATTTGAAATTATTTGGAAATACTGAAAAATTCTAGATCTTGATCGACTGTGAAATTTATTTTCCCAAATCGTTGAGTATTTTTCCATAGTGAAAATATTCCGAGAGCTTGAAAAATTCCAATGATTTATTTATAAGAGTGGACGGAAGATCATTTACATATTCATGATTATCTTGTTTTTTAATTCTACCCACGCTATTCTATCAGTAGCAATAATTTATTTTTCATTTGGGGATTTCAGAGATTTTTGATGAATTTTTGAAAATTATTTGAATATTTTAACAGAATTAGATAAGTTGGTGTGGGATAAAATCTTTTTTGAAACGGTGGAAAACCTGTTTGGCTTATCAAATCGGTACATACACACGAGTAATCGATGACACCGATGTTGTGACGTATTCAATCGGTCTGTCCTCCTCAGATACTCAATAACTTTAGCGACTACAGTTGAATGAGCATGGCAGGGCCATCATAGCCAGCATAAATAATCCCGATGTCATTGTGATTTTCTCCATGTCATTGACTAGATGGAATCCGAAGAATTCCTCCAAGTACCAATAAACAATTTGTTCTCACCCCTCAGTCGTTGCAATAAATATGATTTTTCAAATTTAATGCATGATTTCAACAGGACTTACTGGAAATATGAAATATAAAAGTGTCAACGACGTAACGGGTTTCTCAGAATGACTTATCAGCAAGTTGGATGGATTGTCTGAAATCCGAGTGATTTTTGAAATGGTGAAAATATGTGGGAATGATAAGAGCATTGAAAAAACTGATTATCGAGGGAGTGGAACGATAAAATCAGTTCCCGTGGTACAGAATTATTTTTTTCCACTCCAGTAGATAATCTATCGAGTTTTCAAAAATTTCCAAGTCCAAGCGGAAATCTATTTATGTAAACACGTGGATTTTTATTTTTTATTTTCGTCTGCGGAGTTTTAGAAACTTGGAAATTGACTGGAGATTTTCACTCGGGATAGGAGTCTGCAATCAGAACCTCTTTCGACATAATAGAAAGTAACTATGAATCTAGGATGAATCGAGAGACTGTTCGCCAGTTTTTGCCAGTGATAGAATATAATTTCATCCGAGTTGACATTGATTTTGTCCCGGAATACTGCATTCAATAAACAGTAGATCCTGATTGAATTGATTCTGATAAATATTGAAACATTGGTAAAATGCAAATGGACAAATTTTCACCCGCCACCTCATGATTAAACCAAAATTCATCGGGGAATCGATCAATACCACCCGTCAAATCATTCCCCCCAAAGTTTATTAAACTTTGAAATTTTTATGAATATCACCGTCAAAATTTAATCAAGTCGTAACGTCTCGCTTGTGTCATTAATTTAAAACTAAAACTTGAATTAATTTTTCCCCTCTTCCCGCATATCTCAAGAAAATTTTATTTCACTCGAGTTTTGATGGGAACTCGTTAGCATTCACAAATAAAAATTTATATTTGCCCTCGTAAAATTTACGAGGCTCTTTCTTTCAAGTCCTAAAGATATAAATACATAAATATTTTTACGATAAAGTGACCGAAGGGTATTTCCTCTGCATCAAACCGTGGAAACTCTTCTTTTTTCGTTCCACTTGGGCCTCAAGATTTTCCCTCATTTCCGATATCCCTCGACTCCTATCCCAGCATCATGAAATTGCAGACTACTGGGGTCGTGACCTTCCGTTCTGAGCTCTTCTTCGAGAAAAAAAAAAGTCCATGAGTCAGAACTCGATCGATCCCACCCGAACATTCGCCATGGGGTTCCTATTTTAACCCTAGACAATTCAGTTACCATGTGAATTTAGAAGGGCTCCAACTTTCACTGGGGATTCATTAAATTACCAGAATAATCGACTGTTTCAGCATTCCCCATATAAATTCACCTCAATAATTTTCCTCAACAGTATCTCATAAAAATCCCGGAGAAATCGTCACGAGACGAATCTTTAAACCGAAATGGGGAATTGGCTTGATCAAGGAACTCCAGGAAATGAACAGAAGTAAAAAAAAAAACTAGTGGGTCATTAGGCGTCATCCAGTCGGCGGAAATTGTCCACTCCAATTGTCTATTAGAGCTACATTCTTTTTCTTCGTAATATCTCGCCTTATTTTTTTTCCTTCCCCTCTCCTAGAATTCTATTCACTCGCATACTGTGGAAAAGTATTAAATATTCATGCCAGGGACAGCGTTTGCATCTAATAAACCGTTGGAATGTTTTTCGCATTGTTTTTGAATGAAGTTTTTATGAAAAATTCATATAAAGAGAATTTAATTTTTTTTTTCTCCCTTTTTTTTGCAGATAAGGGGTCTCGAGGGCAGAGCGTCAAGGGAAGCGCAGAAAGGGAAATCCTAGGGCCAAATCGATACTCGTAAGGAGATGGAATAAAGTTTTATGGATTTTTTGAGGGGCTTTTACATGGTTTCATAATCTATTGAGTCATCCTTTGAAATTGCAAAAGATTCTCGATTTTTCTAGCTAATTACAGAATTAAATTAAATTATAATGAAATCATGTCTCAGTAATGAATGGAAAGGATAACAAGTCAATTTAGCTAATGGTCAAGACTTACAGAAATATCTCTGAAACTACTGGAGATACCGGAATTTTCGTTGAGACATTTTTCCAGCGCTCAGTCCGTTCTACAAAAAATGTCTTGATAAAAATTTCCCTATCTCCACTAGATTCCGAGATATTCCCTCGTATACTGAACCGGTGAACAAGTCGACTCGTTACCCTTTCCTCGTGGCTCTGAAACGAGTGAATTTTAATTAGATTTATGAAAATCACTTGAAGATTATCGATCTGGACGGATGAATTATTATGATTGCAGGTGGTACCAGAACCCTTATGGTAATTATTTGAAAACAACCTGGTGGTTTGATAAAAAATAAAACGCTCGTATGCAGCAGCAACGTAACACCGGCGTTCCTTCAGCCTCAGTGACAACGTCACCATCAACAATGGCAAATATGTTTTCACAGCAGTACTGCCTTAGATGGAAGTACCATCACAGCAATCTGCAGACTATGTTCTCGCAATTGCTCGAGAGACAGGCGTACTGCGACGTTACACTAGCTTGCGAGGGCCAGACACTCAGGGCGCACAAGGTAAATAAACTCATTAGATCATGTCTCATTCCCCATCATTTCCCTCCATCACTTTCATCAACACTCATCACTCTCAATTCATATCTTTGCTCCCTAAAAAATAGATCTAGTTGACATAAAACTGATATTTCGAGGGAATTTTAAATCGCTTGAAAATGTTTTTCACAAAACAAAAAGAGAAAAATTCTCTGGCATTTTGAATATCTGAAAATTCAGTAACGGTTCAGGGATTCACCGTCAAATTCCTCAAATTCTCCGAAATTCCAGCGGAATTTGGGAAATTTTGGGAATTAACACTGCGCACAACAAATCAATTTATTAATTACATTTTCGGGGAATAATTGAACCGGAATTTATACTTGTCGTGGGTTTTGTTATGATGTGGATTTTCAGTGAGGAAATTTGTGGAATCTATCAAATTGGTATTAATTTCATTGTAATAATCATAATTTTGTTCTCAATTAGTGATAATTTCCACTGAAATAACAAACAATTTCGCAATAATGAATTTTCTGCTATAAAATTTCGAAAATAATTAGAACAGCAATAAATGGTGCCGATTCCTGGTACAGATCAATAAATTCATAACATAAAAGTAGATGGAGTTCACATTCCATGGAGGCAAAAATCAATTTGATATTTCTCCGCATATTTACAATGATAATTGAGAGAACATTTTTATGGACAGAAATTCTGAGAAGAGCGGGGAGTGCTGTTGAATATTCGGTATTTCACTCTCAACATCATTGAATGAATAGTGATTTCCGGATTTTCGTTACCATTTTCACTAGACGATTAGAAAAATCCTGTGAGCAAATAGAAGACAATGAGTGCCCCAAAAAGTCCCAAAATTTAACTTTACCCACTAGCATTTATTTTTCCTTTGAGAAGCAAAAAACCAGGAAATGAATTCAGTACTCATTTTTTTCAACGTCAATTTTCCCCTGATATCTCGGAACCGAAGGAATTTATCGATTTTTTTGTGTCAACATTTTTGATCGAAAAAGATGATAGCTACAAAAAAGGTATCTATAAAAAAATCGATATCTCCCTTAAATTCGGAGATATTTGCTAAAATCCGATCTCGAAAAACAATTCACTTATTCTAGTTTACGACTTCGTAAGCGAATTCCGGGATTTGTATTGGAGTTCATCACGAGATAATTCCAAAAGAATATAGAACATGTTTATTATTACATCCAACAAGTACAAAGGATGATCATAGTCATGACAAGTATGAAACTTGACAAACGATCAAATTTCTGGTTCTTTGTTTCGAACAGGTGAGACAAGAAGCTCTGGCGGGGGGATGAGGGGGTGACGAGGGGTGGTATGAAATGTGTAATTCGCCTCTCCCCAATTTTTTCTCAACCCAGACGTATTATATTTTTTCTCTCCTTGTAGGTTTTTTTTTTATCCTCCCCTCCTCGGTCATTCTCTTTTCGCAATCGTTCTCGGACGCTCAGGTAGCGGGGAAAATACCAAGAGGGGAGGGGAAAAAAAAAATGATGGGGTAAGGGAAGTGGGGGGCAAATAGGTGGCACTCCATCAAAGTTGAGTATACATTTGGCTTGGTTTATTTTTTACTTTTGGTTGGACTCCAAATTGTAAAATCAATACTTAGTAGTAAATTCCGAATGGAGAAGAGTCGAGCCTTCTCGTCGCCATTATAATGGTCGCGTGTATGAACTTGTGGAAAATAATAATAAAAATTATGGAAAAAATACAGGAAGAGGGAGTAGGAAATGGCAGGATTTGAAGGATTACACCTGATTAAATGAGATCGCTGGGAATTTTAATAATTGAGATGTACACATCCACGAATTCTTTTATTCCTCGAGTACTCAAGTATTTGGAAAATGTCTGGACTTTCAATCTATTACAAATCGATTTTTTTTCATTTTCAATTATTAGGATGAGTCTGAAAATCATGCTCGATAAATAAATACTCATTTCCTATGAAAATCCATTTTTTTTTAATTTGGAAATTGATGAGAAATTTAGAAAATTCATTCAATTCAATTAATTCATTTTTCAACGAATTAATATCAGTCTGGGGAACTTTTTTTTGGAAATAGAGAAATCCAAGATTTCACGTAACGAATATGTGGGACAGTGTAATTAAACAGGAAAAATGGAAAAAATGGAAAAGTTGGAAAAAATGGAAAAAATGGAAAAAATGGAAAAAATAAAAAAAATGAGAAAAATGAGAAAAATGAAAAAAATGAGAAAAATGGAATAAGTGAACTGCAATGAGTGAAAAGAAAGGACGACGCCCACCAAAAAAAGAAATGATATAAACAATGGGGTAACTTATGCTTGTGATGGTCTCATGTCAGGGGTATGAATGAGGAAAATTGTCCTCAAGGGGTCGTGCATGGTTAAAGAGGGGGTGAACTTGTATAGTGACAGCTGGCGATCTTCTACCCACCTGTGCCCAGGTGGTTTGTCTCAAATGTTTCCCCTTTGATGTCTCATTGACCTCTCGTTTTTGTTCGGTTTAATCGATACTTAGCGAGGGTTTTAATCAGACTGGGGTCAGAATTCATATCAATGACTTCATCGTTCGAGGGATTCAATCCGAAATCGGAATTTATTATTGACATTCAGGTGAACTGTGTAGGTTTTTTCCGCGGGAAAAATTATTGGGGAATTCCATTTGAAATTTTCAGTGGAAAAATTTGAACTTTTTTATCATGATGACGGGAATATCTACTGATTTTTTTATTTGTTTATTTTTTTTTTAAGTGTTAATGTAGCGGGTAAAAATCCGGGGGTGATTAACAATTAGATACCAAGTATGAGAACTCATTATTATGGTTTTTCCTTGTTATTGTAATGTCTCGAAATAATGAGTGATTTGTTGGAATATTTTGAGCTGGAATATTTTCCTGTTGTAATATTTTTAAGCAATAATTTCTTCAGTTATTTTTTTTGTTGTTATTCGGATAGATAACGGAGAGTATTCTCTTGTTAATTTAAAAAATGGTGAATTCTCGTACACCAAATGGTGTGTTTAATCCATTAACACGAATACCACACCTGAGGATTTGAATAAACTTTGAAAAATATGAGTTACAACTTTTTCACTGAATTCTGAAACACTCCTGTTAACAGTGTCTAATTTTTTTTTTTTACCGAAGAAGGAACAATTTTCAGGAGTTGCTCGGTGCTAAACTATTCCACAGACCATGATGAAGACACATTCCGTAAATTTCAGTTAGCATTCAAGTTATTCAACTTCTCTAGATTAAATTTTGAAAATAGACCGACGGGAAAATTCCCCAGTGTTAAATTCCACAACATTCAGAGAATTTGATTGATCAGTGAAAGAAACGAGCGACGAAATTAGGAAAAGCCATCAATTGATTTTCAAACGCATCACTAAAAATTCCAAGAAAATGTTAAAATAAAAAATGCCAGCTCATTAAATCGGTACTAGCTATAAAAAATCCCGAGCTCATAACTCATAAGAGTCGTCTCTAGTTAATCACGTTAATTAATTATGATTTAGTGGGATTTTGAAACTAGTCTTTACAAATTCGAAGTGAAGAGTTTAGAAAGAAGCAGGAAATAATTAGCAATAATTAATAATATTGGTGGGTGTGAAAAATTTTTTTGTAAAATTCATTTATTCAGTAGTGGTATGGAAGGAAGAGGAAAGGATTAAAAAATGATCGATACGGGTCTAGGCGTTAATTGGAGTTTATCGAGGAGACGGTAGAAGAATTTTACATACATATTATATACCATATACGTATACGTTCAGTCGGTAGGATTAAGACTTAATTTTCTTTCACTATCATCGGCACGGTGATGACCTTTTTCCGTCTATATTTTCCACCTTCATATTTTTCACTCTTCTCTCTCTCAATTTCACACTCCTGTCTTTATCTTTCTCAGTAAAATATTCCACGTTTTTACGTCGTTGCGATTTCATGCAGAATTAAAAAACACTAACGTTTATTCTCGGTATATTTCTTTTTTTTCCCCTTTTTTGTTATTGAAATATCTTGCGATTTCCTGTAACCTAATGAGTCATATATACACGTTGAAAGTTCTTGGATTTCATCTCTTGGATGATTTTTGAATATTATAATAAATGCAATCGTCAGTTTGAAAAATGAAGAAAACAATGCGAGACCACAGAGCGGAAAAATAAAATTCTTTTCTTATCACCATTTTTTTTTCCTCTTTTGGAATATTTTCATCGTAAATCAGGCAATATCCGCCGTGGGACGTTTCATTTCATAGAAAAAAAAAAACGGGAAAAAACATTGAATAACTTGTTTTTCTCTTCAATTCTGTTTGAGTTGTCGGGATTTTTTTTGTTCTCCCTCTCTTAAAATTTCAAAAATCCCGATGACTCATCAGTTTTTTTCCTTCTTCTAATTCTTACGTCATCGCCTTGCCTCAACGATTTCTCAGAATTTTTCGAAATTCTTTCCCGCATCGGGTTTTTGGTTTCTCATTCTTTTTTCTTTTTACGTCACGAATAAATCTGAATTTCATTTTCTCTAGATTATTTTTTAAATATCGTCGGCGATATTTTTTTCGTTCAACGATTGATTTTTATTTTATCTCTCGACTTTGATATTTTCGGATTCGCGGGGAATAGAGGAAAAATTATTGGGCCAAAAGTTTCGAGTTAAATTAAATTTTCAATGCCATCTCCTGTCTGTTGTCCTATTCCTTCTCGTTTTGCAATCGGAAACTTTCGGAAGAATGCCAATAGCACGGAGTTGAAATCCTGACCGCCTTTTGGATTCAATTTCAAAACTCATCTTTAGATGTTTCATCCAATATCGGTAGATATTTTCCTTTTGCTTGGTTTTTTTTTATTTCTTTGAAATTTTCTCTCCAACTTCAATACCCGTCGTTTCCATTTACCCCATTCATCTGTCCGACAGAACCAATCACCGATAAAGAATGGAAATTTGAATTGAAATTATCGACGGCACAAAGAGAACACCACAAGCCAAATGAAAAAATGGAGGGCATTCCAAGGGACTGTTCCATAATTAAATCACTCTCCGAACTGCAATCGCGTGCAATTAAACTCCGGAAAAATCACCGAAGCACCATCCAACTTCAAATAATTCCCCAAAAAATAATTACCAATCTCAAACAATCAAACAATAAATAGAAGATCAATTTGAATTTATCTAATTTTTCAAAATCCTCAATTCAATTATTTCGCGTAAATAATAGAACCCACGAAAATTCCGTGAAAAATATAAAATTCATGTAATTTCATTCTTGAATATTCATGTCTCGTTAAAAATTCAATCAAGTTCTGAAATTTCCATCTTCTTCCTGCAGAAATCTCACGAATCCTCTTGAATTTCGTGTAAAACTCGCATTTTAATATCCATATCCCCCAGAATCCGATTGAATGTCACTCCCCTGAGAAAATCTGTCATACTTTCCCTGAAATTAAGTTTTAAAAAAAATGAATTCCCCCGCCGTACGATTTGAACGTAAAAATGCAGAGAAAAAATTCCAAATTTATAAAAATTAACTGGCAAATCTGACTTATGCATTTCAAACTCTCACCTCCCTTGTAATTCTGGGCAATCCATTGCATTCGGGTTGCCGCTCACGTTGCCACATGAAGCGCTAAATCAAAGGGAAGAGAACAAAGCGGTGAAGTGCATAAAAAAAAAAGTACCCTCCCCCCTCAAAAAAAGGAGAAAAAAAAAACAACAATTGAAATAAAACCTAAAAAACTATAAAATATCAGTATAGATGAAAAGAAAAAGAAGCGCAGAAAGCATATTCATTATTTCCGCCCTTGTGAAAGATATAGGAAGTACGCTGTAAAAAGTAACTACAGAAGTTGAAAAAAAAAACGTAGTATTAAAAACTGATGGGGGGCAAGGGGGTGAGGGGGAGGCTAAAAAAAACCGGGTGTAAGGAAAAAAGAACTGATAAAAAACGAAGTACGAACGAACGCGCACCAAGCGTTAATTAATTCTGCGCCTGAAGGGACATACGTGAGTTGCAATTCCCCCTGCATGGTGCGTCGAGAGTGACTCATTCACGATAAGGAATTAAATCGTATAAATATGACCCTGAAAATTTATTAAAAAAAAACTTAAAATTTCAAATTGTTATAATTTTTTATTTATCGATGATTCAGATGATTGAATCACTCCAGTATGGATGACTGAAACCGAATAACATTGAAATATATAACACTGACTTTACACGTTCAGTTGAAAAAATCCAATATCTCATTCGATATTTCGAAAATATTGGAGATGGAAAAATCCATCGGGCAATTTTAACCACCCCCCACCCGATATTTTACTTTTTTACGTCTTTTGCGCAATTTCTTTCCCCTCCCGCAACCTCCCACCCCCTCCCACCAAAACCATCTATACATATACGAGATAGATCGCCGTTATACGGGAGATATATAGAGTTTATTACCGGGAAGACGTCGTGGAGGAAAAGAAAAAGGAGAAGTGGAGGGAGGGGCGGGTGGGAGAGGAACGGGGTGGAGGGTGGTCTTTTGAATTCAGTGGTAATAGGTGCGCAAACATTTTACGGACTGGGGTAAAAGGGGGCAGTAAGCACTTTTCAAGATCAAATATTGATACGTCAGTTGCAGACTGGTTATAACCGAGTTGGAGATGAATGCACGGGTTATGTAGCTGTCGATTTTGCAATTTTTCTTAACGAACAAATCATTGGAATTATTCGGATTGATGGATTACGGGAAAAAAATTTACACCTTTTCAGAACTCTTTCCTCAATTTTCCAGTGAAAATTCTTTTCTTGAAATTCGGTATTATGCTATTATTTATTATTATTACACGGAGAGAAAAATACCGGAAAAATTACGGAACATTCACGTATTCGTGGGGTGACCAGTAAAATTGTCGTGAAAGTTTCGTAAAAATTCCTGTTATTATTATTATTATTATTATTATTATTATTATTATTATTATTATTATTATTATTATTATTATTATTATTATTATTATTATTATTATTATTATT